ATAATTTGTACAAATTCGTACAAATTATTGAGTAAACGAACGAACCTTATGTTACTTCTGGGATGTTTGATATTAAAAATGAGATATATCGGTAGCCCCCATATAGCGGTACCCCAAATTTTAGTCTCTTCTTCATACTTTTTTTAGCTAATCAGCTATAATTAGGTATTTTGTTTCCCAATGGGTGGAAAGTATCCTGTGCAAAGTTCTATCGCTATCGGAGAAATATTTAAATATGTGTGGGAGCGGACGAAAATATGTGTGGGAGCTATGCCTAAATCTGAACCGATTTTAACAAAACTTAGCACACGTCATTCCAGACTCAATTATGTACGCTGTACAAATTTTAGTCTCAATCGGATAATTATTATTCACTTTGTTGTGCTATAATTGTGTTGTAGTTACGTCTTTTTGTTTCAGAAAATATCAAAACCAAAAAAAAATATTTTTTTACAAAAAATAAATACGGCTCTATAGTGCGGTTAAACTTTGAAAAAATTTCCAGCCATGCTCCATTTTTATAGATTTTATAACGTATTTTGCTTCTCCTGTAAAATTAGTCAAATTGTAGTTAGGTCCGTTTGCATTTATGACGACGATATCCACTTTTTTGGAAATACCACCACAATTCACAAACATCGAAATGTTTTAATTCCATTGGCCTAAACTTTCCTGAACAAATACTTCAAAAAAATTAAATCTGATTAAATTATATTTTGAATGATCGTCGTTTTTTTGAATTGGTGTCATGAACTAGTAAATTCACAAACTTCTGACTTGTCACACCACCCACTATAATAATGTCAAGTGCGATTAAACAAAAATGCTTAATTTACAAATGTTATTAACACGACATGTGAATAGTGTGATTTAATAATTACGTTATTAACAACAACCGAAAAAAAATTCAACAAGGAAATAAGCCTCCATATGTGAAAATCATCAGCTACCCTGAAATGTCCTCTGAAATCCCAAAATTTGTATACATATCAGATACTTGATATAAATTTAAAGACAAAGGCAGCAAATTTTTTATACAATAGTTTGGTCCAGTTGTCTGGCTAATTGTTGTAGATCATCACAAAAAACATACACACAAAAGTTTGTGAAGATCAGTTCACAACCTGCGGATCCAGTTTATAACCTGTTAAGACCCTCACAAGGTTTTTTGAGGGTATAAATGCAGTTTCAAGCAAGAAGTTTTTTTTAGACCTTCAAGATATGTTTACCCACATCTTGGTGTGCAAATCACCAAAATTGCTAAGCAAATCACAAATTCGGTAGGACAGAATTTGACGTAATCGTTGCTTGAAAATACTTACCTAGGTCATTTTATCTTATGCCACAAAAATCCAGTATTACATCACATATCTTCGGTGTTAAGCAACAATAATGCAATCTCTTTTCGGATGTTCAAAACGTTATTAATTTTCAGAAGTGAAGCCATAACAGGGAATCTAAGAACTTGTTCCCATTTATAAAAATACATTTCAAATTATTGTAGCAAATTGTGCCAGAGATAAAAAGTACATTTGTCAAAATTAAATGGAAAATTTAAAGCAGTAAGGAAAGTAGTCAAGTCGGACGGGACCGACTATATGATACCCTTGACGAATTTAAGTTTATTCAACAGATGCATCCTAACAGACATTGACATGAAATTGGACATATATGTATGTAGATAAATATGTAATCTTTATCTATATGTGAACCGATTTAAATTAATCCATATACAAGTCATTTGGCAACCTAAACTCCTTGTACATTAGAACTTTTTACCGGGTTAACCTACTTTTTGAGGATTTATTTGACGTATATGCAAAGGAATTGACAATTGAAACCCACTGGGTTAACGAAATCCGGTTAAACGTACTATTATACTATATTTCTAATGTGTATGACGTTTAATGTAAATGTACTATAAGTAACAATTATCGGTAATTTGAAGGTAATAAGAAAAAAATCTCATAAAAAACTCAGTGCCAGAGGATATTTTATTAGTTATAGCACCAATCGATGTCTTGATATGTTCTCTGTTCAGAATTTTGCGACCGTAAATAAACTTAAGATTTATTGTCGAATTGGAAATTGTCTTTAAAAATTTAATAAAAATCTAAATTAACATTTACTAATAGAGCTTCCTGATGATAAAATTGAAATTTGGTATTTTAAGTTCGCATTGTGTAGCACATATTCTTACCAAAAATTATTAATTTTGCTCCATTATTTGGGATAGCCCCCATATATTTTTCAACCATAAATACAACTTATCAAGTAAAGACATTTGTAAGCCACATTGCCCAATATGCCTGATGAGCCGCTTAACCAACGACGAAACGCGTCGCATAGTGGTGGGAATGTTGTATCTCTCTGGCTTTCATTTTCATTGCAGCTCCGATCATGTAGCCCATCTCGAAAGAGAAATTAATAAAAAACATTTACATGAATGGTCTTCGCCCTAAAAAGGCATAAACTCAAAAAATTCAGCTTAAGCCCGGCTGGGATTTGAACCCTGGTTCCCATGGCATCTGTTGGTGTCCGGCGCCTTAGCGTTCAAAGCCACCTCCTTATCTTCCTAAGATTGCACAATATGCAGTTGCATAACATTGAAGAAAAATATTGTAGTCTGTATGGAAAAAAAGTCCGTCACTACAAGAAAAATCTGCTCTGAAAAGGAATGTTCTGGTGTGATGCCAAATGTCCGAACCTTGACACGGTTGAATTTAATTCGTAGATGAAATTTCGCAACAATAGTCGACATAAATACATCTTATCAAGTAAAGACATTTGTAAGCCACATTGCCCAATATGCCTGATGAGCCGCTTAACCAACGGCGAAACGCGTCGCATAGTGGTGGGAATGTTGTATCTCTCTGGCTTTCCTTTCCTTTTTATTGCAGCTCCGATCATGTAGCTCATCTCGAAAGAGAAATTAAAAAAAAAAAAACAAATTGGCTGTAATTTAGTATTTTTAATTATCATTGGGTTTGAAATCTTCGCACAAAAAACTATCAAAATTTTCTTAGATTTTAGTCCGGGGCTCCGTTAATGTGGAGTCTAAACGGTAGTTTGGTTATTTTGAGCACGTTTTTTCAAACAAATTGGGTAAAATACAATTTAATTAAGGTATGTTTTAAGACCACTGAAAAGAATTTGAAAAAATAGTTTTTTCTTATATTTGATCTGCCATTTCGGATTCAATTTATTTGATTTTCAAAATCTGAATTCACATTTGTAATTACAAAACGTGTTCGAAAATAATTTGATAATTTTAACTTAAAAACATTTGACTGCCGTTTTCGATCCACCCTATTAATTGTTTTCTTTTTTTCTGCAGAATCGTTATCAGCGTCCTCAAAACACTTATATTTGATATTTGTTTATTTTATAAACCCACACCTCTAATTATGTCCAAAAAATTAGATATCTGGCCCATAGTGTTCCGCAGAACATCACACTGTGAAAAATGTAATCACACTGGGACTTCCGTTGAAATTTTGGAGCAAAATTAACATGGAGTCGGTAGAATATATATTGGGAGCATTGCCTGAATCTGCACCAATTTTAACAAAAAAGTCATTCATTTTGATACGTTGCACTATGGGCCAGGAATTCAATTTCTTGGCAAAAAGCCCGTTTTAGGTAGGGCCAATAAGATGTTATATATTTTACACCAATTTCAATAGGATTCGTCTTTGAGCCAGCGCAATCAGTACATTGCTGACAAGAATACATGCATATTTCTAAAAAGGAACCAAGGACCTATTTCGTTTCCTTTTATCTTTTACAAATATATGTACAAAAAAATGATACCCTGTACTACAGTGTCGTGAAGGATATAAAAATGGCATTAGTAATAGTTTCATATTTAATAATTTTTTGTTTGTGTTTTATTAAAATATCTTAACCATGTATATGTGGTCGTTATTGTTTATATAAATATGTAATATTTATTATAAGCTTTCAAATGTATCAGTCTTTTTGTTACAATATTTGTTATTTAATAACAGATTACAAAAAGAGAACATTTAGGATATGTGATATAAATCAAATAAGTGAAATTTAAAATAGAGATAACAAAAAAATTAACAAAATCCAATCAATCGGTATATCTGTGTACAAGTTTAATGTATTCATTAAAAAATGATATATTCATCTGATTGTCACCGTTTAATATAAAAGTATTTCCGTATTTCATATAAGACAAATTAGCTTGTTACAGAAGATACACGAGTGTAAACGAAATAATTCGCCCATGCATCTACATCGTGTACACATTTTATCTATTTTTTATCACCAATAAAATTCTTAAACTCAGCAATGACAACATAGACAAGAATTCCAAAAAAAGAAAACAAATCAAACCATAAGGAAATAAAACAAAACATGTTTTCAAAAAACGTGTGATGCGAATTGAATCACCCATAATATTCTTCAAAGAATAAAACATTTTATTTGTAGACAAATGATATGATAACCATGATTGTTGAGTAATTTCGTTATATAAAAAATAAAACAATATAAAAAAATACACAATTATAAATAACTATTTTTTGCTGTACTTATAAAAAAGCGTGTGTGTGTTGTAATCGATAAAACAATATTGGTTAAAAATTTGATCCATTTAATTTAAAGGAAACAACAATGATTTTAAAATTGTATACAAAAAAGGTTTGAAAAAATATACTTTCGTTTTTTGTTAAGGCACCAGGCAACTATATAAGGCGTTTTTTATTTTGTTCTTAAACCCAATGGTTTAAGGAGGATAAACTGAACTTTAGTGATAATAATAAAAAACTAAAAATTAAAAAATAAATAAATTTAAATTATATTAAAATAATAATTAAAAAAAGTCTGCAAATGAGCGAGGATGTGTTGATGCTTAGGAGGCGGCATAGACATTTCATTCTTAGTTCTGAAGTTAAAACAAAACAAACCAAAAATCATTATTCATTCCAATGAACTTCCATGTGAGATGGTAGTGTGAGAGTTTGCGTCTTTCAAAGTTGCTGTTGGCTAAGATGATTGGCAACTGTATTATTGCTATTCGTATTGGCATTAACATTAGCCGCATTTGCAGCCGCAGCAGCATGTAGTTCCTGAATATAACGTTCTTGTTCGGCACGTCGGTTCTTTTCCAAAATGAGAGCTCGTCTGTAAAGAACAAGAAATACAAATTAAATCTTTATTTTTTTCAATTTAATAAGTAGAATTTCAAGGAGGGATAATCGAAATGGAATAGAAAATCTACCTCAAATGACGATTTGAAATATAAAATAAATTTGAAGTGTGGGAAGAAAATTCTGATTAGAACTCCACAAGTAAAATTACGTTTTCATCCCTGTTTCTTCTTGAAATCAATAGAAGTCAGGAGGAAAGGGTCTTCGGAAAGACTACAAATTCCTGTCATTGTAGTGGCTGTAATAAGAGCGGAGAGAAAACAATTTGAGGGATGAAATGTTACAGGAACCTTCAAATTCAAATTTCGATGCTCCTCTTCGTTTAACAAAAAAGCAATACATAAAATGGATCCTGAATATTTTGTTATGTGAAAACATCCAACTATGTATAGATTTTTCAGCAAAATAAAAGCTTTTGAGAGAATCCGAAAGGACAAATTATATTGTCAGGAAATTTTGCCATTTATAAAGATGAGGAATGAGTTCTAAGAATTCGAGAAGTGAGAGAAGTGGGTGTAATAACATTCCGTTATATCTATGACATCGTTGACCATAGAAAACATAAGAATATGGATCATCTTCCCGATGAGTGGTTTTAAACCGTAGTTATCAAAATATTTATACGTACCTATAACGCTCATAAAATCCAACAATTGTACCCAGCTCTTGTTTGAACAAACGCACTAACATTCCATCGAAACATTCCAATTCTTGTAGACTAAACATATTGAATTGCAACATATGATCCTTAGATGAATCGGCCTCCGAATATACCACCAACCATTTTGGTATCTCTTCCAGTAGATAGGGATTGGCCGGAACCAATGCGTTGTGAGTATGAGCCGGTGGTGTATACGTTTCGGGACGTATAGCTTTTGGTGGTTCCGCAGATGTGGTATACACATAGTAGGACGTAAGGCAAGGATGTTGACGTTGACATTGACCGGTATATTGATTCTCGTAGTAAGTACCATGAACATTGGAAACAACAGTACGCCAACCGACCGGTAGACCTTCACGTTCCAGCGGATGAGACCAATGTGTAGTATGGGCATTATGATCAACGTAGTATTTGCGACCATGTAGAGTGTAATGTGTTGCCCAACCCGGAGGCAGGGGTAATTCTTCCTCCAGAGACTGCTGAGAGGGATGTTTACGCAGCTGCTGTTGCGCCTGTTGTTGCTGCTGCTGCGATGATGGTGCACTCGAGGGATTATGATTGTTATTTCCTGTATTCTGGTATAAAGACTGCATCGAGGAGGAGGAGTTAACCTGAGCATGGCTATGAGGTGTGGCACGTGAACTGAGATCATATGAAGACATCATTTGGTTGTTGTTGCTAATCGAATTGGTGGACGTGGGCGAGAGGTGTTTCGACGTCTGCAGGTGATGAGACATTTGATGGTTACTATGATGTGAGTGATTAATGTTGCTGGCAATTGATGTGGTGTTACTGTAGATTGGTGATTCCGAACGATTGTCATGTTGTGTGGACAACGACATTTGCGACATACCATGCACCGGTGGAGTTAGGGTGTTGGACACACGATAGGGATTCTCATATATGGGATAAGACTCTGACGAATAACTTTGGGTCAAAGGTGGATGATGAGGTTGTTGTGGCGGTTGCTGCTGTTGTTGTTGGTAGTGCTGGTGCGGTGGTGTCTGAGGTCTAGGCGTAACACCACGAGGTAATTGCAACATATTGGACTGAAACGAATCCAAACGATCCCTCATCACATTCGTGTGTCCGTCAAAAGAATTGGCATGTTTCTGATTGGAGGAATAGTAGCTGGATTGCGAGTGCTGCAAAGGCGAAGACTGTTGACGGCGCATTCGGTCGATCTGCTCAATATTTACATAATTGCTACTGCTGCTTGCCAAATGATTGTGATTTCCAGACATATCTAGATTATTGGTCGAATAATACGAATGAGAGGACATCGTAGGTTGATATTGCTGTTGTTGATATTGATGATGTTGCGATTGCTGATGTTGTTGCTGCATCTGCGACTGCATGCGTCGTGTGGGTTGTATTGTCTGAGGTGGAGGTAAGTTCGAGCGCATCGAACTGGTCGATGGCGGCAACTGGGACTTTGCCCTTCGTGCATGATAATAATCCGGCTGGGTGTCCGTATACGTATTACGACTAACGCTGCCGGATCGTCCACGTCCCGATAGCGTACCTGAGCCACCATCACAGCTGGGAGAAGCGGAAGCACACCTTTGCAAAGTTTTGGATTTTTGCTTTGTTCTCTGGTCATCGAAAGACCACACATTGATCACCGGTATTTCTGGCGGAGTCTCTTTCTTCACATATTTGCCCACAACGCCCTCTTTGTGTGCTGCTGCATTTTTGTCTTTCTTCCGCGAGAGCATCGTCGGTGGCTTTCGATTACACAGCAAAATGGTTAGGTAGTTCATGCAACAGATGCCGAGCAAAACAACAACAGCACTGGATGATAATTGGGTGGTATCCCCAACAACTGGAAGACACGATCACGTCAAACAACCCTCATGCGGCACAGCATTCATGAATGGTTCTTCCTGGTCGTACGTACGTACGCTGTTGCAAATGCCCCACGACGAAGAAAGCGAAGAGTTGATCGAATGTCGAACTTTGCGTGTTGCCGAAACAACAACAAAAGCAGAAACCACTATTCCACAACAGTTGCTAGACTTCGGAAACTTTAATCGGTACAAAATGCGATTAAATGTCCGTCGTTTCGTAAATTTATTGCCAAATATCGAATCTCTTTGTTCGATGGGTCTTTTTAGACCCTATAAGAGCTGTGTCGTTCCGGAACGAACTAATTCAAGAGAACGATTCCGTGAAATGAACGATCGGAACCATTTTCAAATGATACGAATAGGGAAGGCAAAAGAGAATAGCCCATAAATGAGAAGCATAAAGCAAAAATGTCTGTTGAAACTTTGTGTTTACGAATGTGGATGATGCATAATGGCAAAATACTGTAGTACTTGTTTAGAAATAGACATGGCAAATGTGAAAATCAGCTGATAATGGTGGGGGTATAAGGGAAACTTAAGTCGACTTCACTTTGGATCCCCATATCCCAGCATGTATTGATTACCCCTAAAATAAAGTATGTTGATATAATCAGCATCAACAAAGCTCCCAGAGGTTCGGGTCAAGTGATTTTTGTTCACTGAATGCCAAATTATTGGTACGGTATTGTAAAAGTGGGATTAGCTCCAGTTTAGTAAAAACGATCACATTTTTTCACCAGTAGGTGGTAGGTGTTGTTGCCCTTATTATGGGGATATGTTTTTCTTGGGGGGCGTACCCGGTTAATTGACCTGGAAGCTCAAGGACGGGTACCTGGAACCGATTAATATAAAATGGGAATCATTTTAAAGGTTATAAAAATATATTGATGGGTGACATGAAGAGGTTATCTCAATCCGTTTGAGAGATGCAGTCAGAAAACCTTTTCTAGGGCCTGGATTTTTTGAAAACCTCCTAAAGTTTACAAGGATAAATTATAGCCCTTCATCAATATTATCCCAAATGATGGACTACACTTTGAGCTTTCCAAAATGGTGCCACTTGTGGCTGTATCTGTTGTAGGTCAAACTATATGGATCTTAGAACCCTTAAAATGCATGGGGATTCTTACAAGGAAATTAATAAATCATTGGCATTTGGCAGGGTATTTACGACTTCCTCCTATGGACAGATAAGGGAGTAAGGGACATAACCTTTTAAATGAAACCCCGTGGTACCCCCAAGAAAAAATATCCCCAAAATACCTACCTCAAGAAAAAAATAAAAACAAATTTCATCGTTTTTACTAAACCAGAGTTTTTCCCAAAAAGCCTCATAAAACCTTCAAAACACTGAAAATGGGTAAGGACTTTTATATGGGGCTATATCAGGAAATCTTTGAACCTTAATGCCATGGAATGCCAAATTATATCATCTTTAGATGGAATGTAGGATGACACCGTTGCTTGGTTATACAAAAACCTGGACACGTTTTCAAAACCAAACACCCAAACATAGATCTCGGGGAGTATGATTATGGGATTAGGTCCAGACTGATGTCTGCGAAGTTTTGTTGAAATCGGCCCAGATTTAGATATAGCTCCCATATATAATTTCGTTCGATTTTTTCTGATTGATACACCAAAAATTGAGGAAAATTTTGCATATCGAATGCTGGGCCTATGTTTGTTCGATTTACACGAAATTTTCAGGGGGTATTAAATTGGATATAGAGTGATAGCAAAAAACAAATGGTGTTGTTCAATTAGGACCATGTATTTATATATAGCTCCCATACATAATTTTACTCGATTTCATACAAATGGTACACCAAAGAATCCAAGTCTGCCTGTTTGACATGCACATTTTCATTGATTTCAGAATGGACCATCTCAATGGCCCTCCAAAGATTCTATGTTTGTTCTATCTACAGGATATTGTAGATACTAACATCTCTTGTATGTACCCAAAGTGGTGAAGGGTATCATATAGACGGTCCCGTCCGATTTTTGAACTCTTCTTACTGGTTTTTTCATTGATTAATGAACTATCCTGCAAATAGAACCACAAAGCGACCCCGTCTTTCAATAGAGAATATAGAAAATTACCTTTTCAGTTTTTAACTGTTCTCAGGTATTCAGATTGAACTTTTTGAAACCTAACATAAGAATTTCAATTTCCTTATAAGAAATTGTGAAGTCTGGGGAACCAGAAATTTCTATTAGTAAAGCCACCATTTCCTCGTTGGATTGATTGAATGGAGTTAGAAAATATCCACAATTAGCTCAATTTCCTAGGACTGGACAAGTAAACATCACCCTATAATCTCTAATATATTTTAATTGTAATGGTTGGATTGGAGGAATGAAACAAACATTGTACCCCCTTACTTTCGGCGTACCAAAACAATTCCACAGTACACTATAAATAAAAATAGGTATTCGATTTTCTTTGAGTTGATTTTTTAGTTTATTTAAGATGGTATTTTCTCGCACAATTTTTTTAAATTACATTTTATGTTCATTTATCGATTTCTTTATTTCTTCTTAATTTGGAGAGTAACCCATCGAAATTTTTAAAATTGTTGTGAGTATCAAAGTCTCTCCAAACATTCAAAGCAACAATACAACTTAAAATCTATTACCAAGGACATTTGGATACATTGCCGATAAACATCGACGTTGTATTTAATGTTCATGGGCAGCTCTGGCAGCTTCCATTTCCTTCGACACGTAACCGACCTGTTCTTCAGGGGTGTGGGGCCAGAATGTTGGACGATTGACTGGATCCAAAGCCAAATCGGGGAATGCATCGCGGTAATCTTCCATGGTCATTTGTTCGAATGGCAACAAGGATTTCAAGTGATCGATTTCCTTTTGGAGTTGAGCGATGCGTTGTTCAGAGCTCTTCTTGAAGCTATCAACTTCAGCCTTGGCTTCCTTGGCCTGAGCTTCAATTTGGGCGGTGACGGTATCCGAGGGATAGGGAACCTTCAAAGCTTCATATTGCTTTTGGAAAGTGTCAACCAAACCGGGAACGGGAACCAACTTCTTGTAGTGGGCCCAGTCAATCTTTGGTGGATTTTCAGGGTTGGCCAAAACGGCGCGCATGTAAGCGTCCGACTTGGTTTTGAAAGCGGCGAAGTTGGCCTTTTGGTTGGGAGGGACACGTTCAGCCAAAGAGGCCCAGTTAATGGAGGATGTAGCCACGCGACGTGCTGCCATTGTTTACAATTTCAAAAAGCTGCAAAGGAAAAATAAGTAATTTTAGTTGCAAGACTAATGTGAGGTTATGTAATAGAAAAAAAAAACTAAAAGAAAACTGAGTTATATATTCCCACTGGAATATTTTTCCATCTTCACACAATGTATAATTGAAGATCATAATTATATTCCATATGCACTAACTACAAGTTATATGATTTGCAAATTCTTTGCTCAGGCGTATTGAGAATTATGTAATTTTGCAATGGCAGAGAAATGTCCATTTGTTTTGCCGCTACCATATTTTTGCACTTGTTTTGCAAAGCACTGTTATTTCAAATGCGTAAAACTTTTATATCGTATCAATTCACTTGAATGCTTTGCAAAATGTAATAAATTTTATTAAATATAAAAAATAATATCTTAAAAACACAGAAAAGTCTATTACCGAAGAAGTTTTTGCACTCACACAACTTGAAAGACCACAAATGACAATTTGTAATGTCAAAAATAGGGATACGTAATCCGATATTCGACAAATCGACTTTTTGTAGAAAAGACATGCGTAATCGATTTTTTAGTCGATTGCTATGACAATCCACGAAAAATGCAGTCTGTTTGGTCAGTACAAAAATTGAATTGAAAAATGATAATTAAAATATGTAATTCTGGAACAACACAAATATAGTTACTTACGGAAATACATTCTTCTTGTTTTTTATGATATCGAAAGATAGTAAGAAATTCGAAAATTCTTGTAGTTCTGGAACATACAGATAATACCTCTTCCTGAGTACGGGAACAGCATAAATCGAATATAAGATCTTTGCAGGTTCTAGAATAGAGCAAATATTGATCTGTTTCCGTACAAAAACAAAATGGCAGAACTTGTATATTTGTATAAAGGGAAAGTCGAAAACAATTCCGATTAAAATAAAGAACAGCACTTCTAGAGTTCAGTAAATATTTAGGATTTTTTTCATACTGTTTAAACTGAACATCGTCTACTCAACATATGATATGTACCCGTACTACATGAATGTACAATTTTTACTACGATAACGGGAACAGACCACTTTATAATATCGAAAAATAGTAAAAAAGTAGAGTACGGGAACAGACCAATAATGTTTGCTCCAGAACCTGCATGTATGCACAAATGTTTACTACGATAACAAATTGCCCTTAGTGACATCGAAAAAATAAAAAAATGTAAATTCTGGCATTTTCTAATTATAATATATATTATTTTTATTAGATTTTATATTATAATTCAGTTAAACTTCTGGAACAATTAGACAAATAAAAAACACACAAAATTGAAATGGAATATCTTGTTTTTTATTTCTTTTCTTTCTTGAACTTGTCACTTCAATGATTTGAAAAACGAATGAAAAATATAATTACAATCAGCTCAATATTGTAATACAGAAAAACTAAACCTCAAAGCACATGTGATGAATCAAAAATATTTAGATAAATTCAAAATAATTGAAACAAAGTAAATGCACTGGTCGACATATTTTTGAATAGTAAATTCAAATTTACATGTTTTTCAACACGCCGCCTCAAAAATATGTCGATCCTTTAAATAGTATTTAATAAAAAAAAAATGACAAGTTGTTATATCTGGGTAAAAATATTTATGGTCCAACATTTGTTGCAAGGACTAGGGAAAACCCAGAAAAACCTAATCAGACCAAAAAAAAACTTATATTTAGTGTTCTAAATTCTTTAATCCAACTTGTGTTCTTAGTTCCATGAATCGTGGAGTTGACAAGGGTTTGGTCAACAAATCAGCCAGTTGCTTGCCTGTGGGAATATATTCAATTTTAATCAGATTATTTTCCACTTGCTCTCTTGAAAAATGATACTTTATGTCAATGTGCTTAGATCTCTTGTGACATGAGGGATTATTTGCAATACTTATGCAGCTCTGATTGTCCTCATAAATTAAGATTGGATTTTCGAATACAAAACCTAAACTTGTTAACAATGACTTTAGCCACAACGCTTCTCTTACAGCCTCAAATAATGCCATATATTCAGCTTCTGTAGAGGATGCTGCAACAGAGTTTTGTTTTCTTGTATTCCAGCAAACTATATTTGATTCAAACATCATAAACAGAAAACCAGTAGTACTCTTTCTATCATCTTTGCTTCCTCCCCAATCAGCATCAGCATACACCGAAAATATAGCTTCTCTACAAGATTGTTTTGTATAAACTAATTTCAAATCAATAGTGCCTTTTAAATATCGAAGAACCCTCTTCAGGCATTGCCACAATTCTTTATTACTTTTACTACTGTATCTACTCAGGATATTTATCGATGTGCTTAGATCAGGTCGTGTACAAAGCATTATGTACATTAAACATCCAATTAAATTACGACACGGGGCGTTATAATTTTCATCTGAATTCAGTGCAGTATAATCAACGTTTGTTGGAAGTGGATTCCCAATTGGCTTACAGTCATTCATTTCGAATTTTCTAAGTACTTTCTCAATGTAAGCAGATTGGCTTATAGTAATTGTATCATTATGTCTTTCAACTCTCATTCCAATAAAAAACTTAATATCAAAAAGGTCCGTCATTTTAAATCTGCTCTTCAAGTACTCTTTGAAATTATCAATAGTTTTATTATTTGAACAAGCTATTACTAGGTCATCAACATAAAGCAATACATACAAATTTTTCAGTACATCACCCTTATCAATTAAATAAATACAACGGTCAACAGGTGAGCTAACAAATCCCATGTCCTTCAGGGCCTCCTCAAAAACTTCAAACCAACATCTTGCGGCTTGCTTGAGACCATAAATTGCCTTGTTCAACTTGCAAACTTTACCATCTTCACATGTCAAACCCTGGGGAATTCTCATATATATTTCCTCTTTTAGCACCCCATTCAAAAAAGCTGTTTTTACATCCATATGATGTACCAATAAACCAAACTGATTTGAAATAGATATTAAAATCCGAAAGCTAGAGACTCTGGCCACTGGTGCAAATATCTCATTGTAATCAATCAAATATTCTTGTGTAAATCCCCTTGCTACAAGTCTAGCTTTATATCTTACCGGATTACCGAACTCATCATGTTTCAAACTAAAAACCCACTTACAGTCTATAATATTTCTGTCTTCTGGCTTTGGCACAATTGACCAGGTTTCATTTGAAAAATGAGAATCAAGTTCCTCCTCAATAGCTTTTTTCCAATATGTGCTGTCATCCCTATATAGAAGTTCTTCAAATGAGTTCGGTACATTATCAACAAATGCGTTTGCAATCATAATACAATTATCTAAATACGTTTCATTTTCATTGTATGATACATGTGGCTTAGCTTTTAAGCGATCACTCTTCCTTATCAAATTACCTTCATTTTGAATAAATTTGTCATTCTGCAATTGACTTTTATTTTGCTCAACATTTCTACATTTTACTGGCAATGCATGCTCTTGATAATGACTCTCCCTACTTTCATTCGGGACATTTTTTTCCGTGCTTTCATTCTGGAAAATTTTTACAGCACTAGAATAAAGTGATTCGTTATTTAACATTTTCCTACATTCATTCGGAATAACAGTTTCCGTACTCTCTTTCCGGAAATTTCTTACATCACTCGAGTACAATGGTTCCTTCATTAAATAATCCTTACTGTCATTCAGGATTACATTTTCCGTACTCTCTTTCCGGAATTCGTTAACATTATCAGGTTTACTACGGTCTGTGTCTTTTAGATCTCTAGAATACTGCATATTTCTCTCATCAACAATTACATCACGAGCCATAACAAAACGTCCATTGTCCACATCCCACAGTTTATAGCCATTCGACTCATATCCAACAAGTACAGCCTTCCATGATTTCTCATCGAATTTTCTTTTTCTCAATTTATCATGTACATATACCGTGGACCCAAAAACTCTCAAAAACTTTAAAATAGGCTTTTTCCCATGCCACATCTCAAACGGGGTTTTCAAATTATCTTTTAACGCCTTCCTAGGACTTCTATTTATTAAATATGTTGCTGTTAGAACAGCTTCACCCCAAAAAGTTTTGTCTAATTTTGCTCCACTTATCATGGCACGCGCTTTCTCTGTTATAGTTCTTATCATTCGTTCAGAAACGCCATTCAATTGTGGGGTATATGGCACAGTCAAGTGATAAATTATGCCTTTATTTATACAGTAATCCCTCATTTCATTTGATAAATACTCCCGTCCATTGTCAATATACAAGTTAACAACTTTCAAGTTAAATAGAGCCTCACTTTTAGCAACAAAATCCTTAAATACAGAAAAAACTTCTGATTTAATGGTAATTAAGTAGGTCACACAGTAGTGAGTGAATTCATCGACAAAGATCACGTAATAATTTTTCTCATCAATAGTGGGCGGAGTTATCGGTCCACAGACATCGGAATGTATTACAAACAATGGCCTCCTTATGTGTCCCTTGTCTTTAAATTTACCAAATCTTAATCGGGATTGTTTTCCATTTATGCAAGCTTCGCATAACTCTTCATTGGGACGCACATTGTCTAGAAGTTGACTATCACAAAACATTTCCTTACTCTTTATCTCCATAAATTTATTCTTACTAATGTGTCCTAATCTCTCATGCCACAATTGATAACTATTGCATTTCGCAGCACTTGCTGCATACAAGCTTTTATATGATTTAAAACAAATTATCGGAACATTATTTTTACATTTACCTTGAATGATTACATGGCTTTTGTTTCGTACAATGACACCTTCGGAGTTAAACTCAATAGACAATCCAGCATCTTGCATCTTTCTTATTGAGAGCAAATTCTGTGGAACTTCTTGACAAAACAAAACATTCTCAAGTGTAATCTGGTATTGGTTTCTACTCCATAGTTTAACTTTTCCTTGTTTTGTAGGATGAATATATTCACCACATTTTGCAACTGCTATTTTAATTGGCGATTCAAGGTTGACGTAATCAAAAAATAAGTTTTCATCATTAATAATGTGATCCGAAGCTCCAGAGTCTAACAAAAAAGAAATTCCATCTTCTCTGCTTACATAAGCTTCCCAACAAATCATGAAAGCAAATCCTTTCTCGGATTGAACTGCTGCATGAACTGTTTTTACATCTCCATGGTTTTTCGTATCCAATGTTTTCTTGAACAGGAAACAATTCTTCTTCACATGGCCATTTTTATGACAATAATGACACTTTATGGACGGGTCAAAATGTTTCGTGGTCTTCAACCTTTTTTTATGCTTGAAGTCATGTGATATTGGTTTATTAAATGGGCGCCGACGGTATTTTATTGCTTGTAGTACTTTCATACTGGTGTCTTTTCCGTCATTCTTGATTTTAATTTCATGATCAAGTAAACGTGTCTTCACAAATGCCAACGTCAAATTGTCTTCAGATAGTGTTTCGATTGCCGTAATTACACCATCATAAGATGTTGGGAGTGTCAGCAATAAATGTGAGACTTTATCCATTTCTCCGACATTTGCTCCAGCCGCTACCAACTCAGATATTAAATCGTCATACACATGAAAATGATTTAATAATGATGTTTCTCCTTCCAATTTTAATGATAGCAACCTCTTTCTTAAGGCCAGTTGTGATGCAATGCTCTTTCTTTCATAAATGGCATCCAAATTTGCGAAAATTTGTTTGGCACTGCAGTCATTATTTGCAAATCCTAAGAACGAATCGCTCAGATTCTCGATTATAATACCCTTGGCATTCCTTTCGCTTTTTATCCAATTTTCAGTAATTTCCGTTGGCACTTCTTCATCAATAACTTTAAGCACATCATTTTCGGCAAGAATTGATCTAACACGGAATTTCCAAATTGAATATTTTGCACCGTTAAACGGTTCTATGTTTCTTTTCATCTTGTCCATATTCACAATTTTATTTATAGGGCGTTATCTGGGCCCATAACCTATTAGATTTTATATTATAATTCAGTTAAACTTCTGGAACAATTAGACAAATAAAAAACACACAAAATTGAAATGGAATATCTTGTTTTTTATTTCTTTTCTTTCTTGAACTTGTCACTTCAATGATTTGAAAAACGAATGAAAAAATATAATTACAATCAGCTCAATATTGTAATACAGAAAAACTAAACCTCAAAGCACATGTGATGAATCAAAAATATTTAGATAAATTCAAAATAATTGAAACAAAGTAAATGCACTGGTCGACATATTTTTGAATAGTAAATTCAAATTTACATGTTTTTCAACAATTTTATACCAACTCGATGTAGTGAGGTTGGGATTTTGCAGCGTCAACATTTTCAGCAGGAGTTCCTTGTCCATTCAAGGTGGGGGAACACAGGCTGAGAGGATCCGTCTGGTTGGGATCTCAGATAGGCACCAAAGCCGTCAACAGTTCTCACGAGGAAATCTCTCGATTCCCTTTTTAAGCAGTTTATGACTTTGACACCCTTTTGCATGAAGGCACTGCCAATCTGACGATCCCCCTGATCCGACCCACAGACGATAGCCGACCGAAGGGCTGCTTCAAAGAGCAACCGATGACTGTCACTAATCCTCCCATAAGGATCAGATTTGTCAATGATTGACACTTCAAGGTCTTCGTCAGCAGCTACCGTGGTCGGTCTGTCTCTGACTACGAACCTTGGAGTTAGCTTTTCCAGAGGAGGTTGATGCCTTCTCTGTACTAGCTTTTTCTCCGCCGTTTGTTGCCCAACGACTGCCGTTTGTAGTGCTTCGCATCAGATACTTATCGGTCATTTCCGACCTTTGAGCTGCTGTCATTTGGGGGTCTCGGTAGGTTCCCCATTGTCGGACATCGCCTCCGTTGCCGTTTGCCTTTGAAGTTTATTTTCGGAAAGTGCCGACACAGGACCTGCTTGAGTCAGACTTGTAATCGGTCGGCCAACAAGGTCTACGTTTCCTTCGTTGAGGCTACAACAATCCTCCTGTGTAGACTTTGCCGGCATCACCGTGGTGTCCAGCTCAACATCAGTCAGGGTAAGATTTAGTAGCAGCGTATCCCCACATTGCTCTTCCGGTACAAGACTGACTAACTGGTCGAAGATTTCCCTACTCTGCTCCTCTAAACTATCGTGGATAGCGTTAAGGGTCCCGTGTAGGTCGTGCCTTCCCAGAACTACAGTACCCTTAGTCAGAGACTGATTTGCATCAGTCTTGACTTGCTTGAATTGTCGGTTCGTCAAGGTTATTCGGTTTTGAAATTGATGCGCTTGTAGTAGATACAACTGCAGGTGCCAAGGCATCCACACTTAGAGCAGCAGGATTACAATCGCTTGATTTCGACGACACGTGGCTTGTGATCTCACCAACGATTGCCGCCGGTACTGGGTTATTAACTCCCTGCACCATTTATTTATTCCTTTTGTTTTTCTTGACCATCGTAGTTGATTAATTTAAGGGCACTATCCCGAACCATTTTGGTCCACGGGGGATTCGAAAAATCCACAGCAGAAGCTGTAGTTAAATTTTATGAATCTATTTCTATTTTCCAATTTTTTGTGTGATAATGAAAATGCAATATAAAAAAAAAATTATTATCATTGCAACTGTAGCGGCTGAACCACCTTTAATATATTTGCAAAAACAAAACTGATCGCCGTTGCTTTGAATCAACAGCTCAGCCGTCAACACAGTCAACATGGCTCGGTTCTCTGAGTGCGGTTCTCATTTAGTCTCCATCCCACCTTATTCGTAAACAATTCGGTTCTCATTCTCATTTTTCCATCCCACCTCATTCGTAAATTTTCGGTTATACCACTTTGACTTCTTTATCGGCTATTTTGTCTTCTCCTCCCATTCATTAGCAGGTGGAACGTTTTTAATTTTTTCTTCAAACTTTTTGACTTTTCTTTGAATACAAAAAGTCAAATGTCGATTTACTTATCCCTAAACCCTCTAACATGCACATTTCGCATTTCGTAATATAATTTTTATTTCATTTTGTTAAATAAAAATATTTGTTAATTTCAATTTCATACGAAAAATGTTGTTGAAATACGTTAAACCATTGGTGGAGCAACAGGTGAGATATATCTCATCTGCCTCGACAGCTGTCACAAGGCTGCATCGTTCCATTTATGCTCGCCAGTATCCAACTGTTGTTGTTTTGCCGGATGGATCCACAATTAACATTCGCTATCAGGAGCCAAGGAAGATCATTAAGGTAAATATACGGGAAATGTGTAATAGATGTTGAATAATTGTAAATATATTCAACCGTTGACGTGGCTAATATTCCATGAAACAAATTCGGCACTATTGACAGTGGACATTATCCACGGACATGAAGTTTACTGACCACAACACAAAGACTGATTTTTGATTCGGAAATAGCTGGGGCTTCAAGCTATAATATTAGGTTGGGGAGTCGAAAATGTCGACAAAATTGGAGAAATGATCGAAGTTGACCAGCATGTTAGCAGTCGTTACAGCGCCCAAAAGCTAAAAATCTACCATAAAACTGTTTTAAACCATTTACACAAAGTTGGATTCAAAAAGAAGCTCGATGTTTGGTTGCCAATTAACAGCAAAAAATAGGATAGATCGAATTTTAATTTCCCAAACGGAATGAGCTAGACCGATTTCCTAAACGGATGGTGACTGGAGATGAGAAATGGATCACATACGATAACCCTGTGCGAAAACGATCGTAGTCAGAGCGGTGAAGCACCACAAATGGTGGCCAAACCAGTACTAACGGCCAGAAGAGTTCTGCTATGCATTTGGTGGGACTGGAATGGGTCGTGTTCCACCAGAACAACGCTAGGCCACACACATCTACAGTGACTTGCCAGAAACTTCGGTAGCTTGGTTGGAAAGTATTAATGCATCCGCCATACAGTCCGGACTTGGCATCAAGCGATTATCATCTTTTTTTGCATTGCAAATTTTTTTTATGATAAAAAATTGGTATCTAGGGAGGATTGTGAAAATCGACTACTAGAGTTTTTTTGTAAATAGAGAGTAGGACTTGAGAGAGGCATTAAGTTACCTTTAGAATGACAACAAATCATACAACAAAACAACAGGTTTGACCCAAATCGGACATTCCGAAGCATGTTAAATAAAGTTCTATATTTCATATAAAAATAATGGATTTATTTTTCCCCAACCTAATATAATCTATTATGTCTGTTCTGCGGGAATAAATTCATAGAAGTGTATTACAGTAGATATCGGATATAAGAAACGCGTTTTTTTCTTATATGGAATTATCGGATGTAAGAAAGTTGTTTCTTATATGCGTACATACACATTTAAAGTTCATAGTTTTACTAAAAATAGGTGCATATGTTTCTATTCATATAAATAATATTCTTTCAAATACAATTAAAAGTATTTTATTTTTTTAAACATTTTCAATGTTAATAAATTGGCCAACAATCTTACATATTTTCTTATTTCTATACCTTTGTCAGCTTTGGTGTATGACAAAAATTTTTTATATAGATGTAAAAAGGCTTTGTGTTTTTGATAATCTTTCTTATATGCGATTTTTTCTTATATGAGATGTGCTTATATCCGATATCTACTGTACTACATTCGATTTATGCTTTGTTGAGACTTCCATATACCGGATAATATAATTTTTAAAATGTACAGCACAAAAATCTGCAAAAATTTTGTAAAAGAAAATAATACTCAAAAATAGTAGACCATTGCATGTACGGTAATCATTACTGAATACATCCGATTTAATATTTTATAGTATATCCCATATATAATACCATCCATATTTGCTCAAATGCCAAAAAAAAAAACCTCCTTTCCAGTCGTATATTTCCTATTCGTCTATCAGTACTCCTTCCCAGCTACATTTATTTAATGTAAATTTTTTAAATTAATTTATTACAACAAATAAAATTCACCATTTACTTTATTTCTTGCAGCTCCCCTTGGATTTAAGCACCTTAACTGAAGCTGAACGTAAGGCTCGCTTGGAGGCACGTAAACCACGTAGAAAGATAAATGTTGTTGAAGAAGTCGAAGATAATTTCAATGCTAAGAAATACATGAAATATATTAAGAAGAAGTAATAGGCTAATTTGTTTAAGTAAACATGTTATTTATACTATAATAAAATTGTTGTAATTAAAAAAATCAATTCGAATTTTGTATTACTTTTAATGTAATTTTGTTAAATTTAATTAATATTTTTGGCTTATATAAATATTTCTTATCGTATTTCTTGCTTTATATATTCAACGTGGATTATAGCAAATGAATAATAGTGAAAGGCTGTAATCAGAAGAGGATAAACATTTATAATTACCATAGGACTAAAATGGAGTATTTGGTCATGGAACTACAGTGCCGGTCACCTAATTAGCACACACCTGGGAAGGGAAACATGTTTTGAATAACACTCGATTCGTATTTGTAAATAAATTTTTATTCAAACGCATATGTGTACTGTGCTTGATCGATTAAGTGTGAGAACAGAAAATTATCACGGGAAAATTGTGATATATAGCAGTAATTATAAAACAAGTCAAATTTGATCGATGATCTTTTAGTTTCGACTAAAATTTTTTTCGATAAAATTTTTTGTTGTTATACTCAAACAACTGATTGATTTGATATATCAAATGTCATTACAAATTGATATTTCCTCACATAGTGCAAAAATATACTGGTTTCTTCCTCGAAGCATTTTAAAGACAAAGGCTTGATCGATTAAGTGTGAGAACAGAAAATTATCACGGGAAAATTGTGATATATAGCAGTAATTATAAAACAAGTCAAATTTGATCCATGATCTTTTAGTTTCGACTAAAATTTTTTTCGATAAAATTTTTTGTTGTTATACTCAAACAACTGATTGATTTGATATATCAAATGTCATTACAAATTGATATTTCCTCACATAGTGCAAAAATATACTGGTTTCTTCCTCGAAGCATTTTAAAGACAAAGGTGTGCTTCAAGTGAATTTCTAAATTTTGAGTTTTATTTCGAAATTTTGTTTATTTTTATAAATTATTTTTCGACCTGTGTTTATTCTAACAATTTCTAGGCCATTCGCATCTTTATTTTTTATAAAAAGTTTGACTTTTCCAATTTTAAGTTTACAGTACGAATTGTTGCCAATTTAAATAGATTTTACAGAATTTTTTTAAACTTTTTTCTTATGAAAATGGTTTGTCAGACTTAATTTGTTAACACGAAGTAGTTTTTTGTATCAATTTTTTAATACCAACAGTATTTAAGTTCAAAATTCCAAGATGTGCTAATTACGTATCCCCCTCAAATTTGACTTGTTTTATAATTACCGTGACATATCACAATTTTCGCGTCATAATTTTCTGTTCTCACACTTAATCTCTCAAGCACAATACACATACATATGTGTTTTGAATAATTTGTTTTTTTTTTTTTAATATTCTAAACGAATCGAGTGTTATCCAAAACATATTTCCCTTCAGGTGTGTGCTAATTAGGTGGCCGGCACTGTATATAAGGATTGAGAAAACATAACGAAATAGATAACACAACCATTTTCGAGTGTTATATTTCAGTTATACGAAATAAATAATAAATAATGGTCTGTTCCCGTACTGCAAGAATCTACTCGATTTTACTATTTTCTTCGATATCATAAAGGGAAATTTGTTATCGTAGTAAAAAGTAGCAGATTCTTGCTGTACGGGAACAGACCATAAATTTTCAGAATATATTAGAGTCCTCACTTCAAATAATATTTTCAATGAACTATTCTAAATAGTCCTAAAAGTCTAGGTTTACACATGCAACATTTTTAAGCAAATCTGCTGCTGATCTCTACGATTCTCTTTTGAATTTCTTACCCCTTGTCACTTTTTATACCTCTCACTTCTAAGAACTCTCTTCTAAAATTGCATGTATAAACACAGACAAACGTACCAAAAAATACCATACCATAAATCGAATCGAATAAAAAATAGTTTTATGTTGTAAAATTCTAATTGTGTCATTTTGCAGAGATACTACAACAGTATGTTTATTTAGGGGATTAGGAATGTATTTATTTGTTAACTACTTTTAGTTAAGATCTGAGAATATTCGTTGATTTTTTAAGGATTTTTTTATGGATGTTCGTTTCATCCATAAAAATTGTAATCAGCTGGTAGCTATGCCCTAACTTGTAATAATTATATCATGACTTTGCCATTAACTTTTAACATATCTATTATTACTCATTCGTTTCCGTACATATGTATCTATTACAATTTCGATTTAAAGAAGATTCTTACAAAAAGAAGATTGATCGAAATTGTTTTTATAGAAAAAAAAAATGTACATAGTGAATAAAAAGAGAAGTGTAATTTAATACATTAAACAATTTTTTATTACATTTTATAAAATAAAAATACATCTTTGAGAACGAACTTGGCATAATTACACAAGGTAATCTCATGCAGACATATGATTCCAATTTTTTCATAATTTTACTTTGACAACATTCAGCTTTAAAATTTAAATGAAAATATCCTCCTTCGAAATGTACGCACAACACGTGTCCCCTGCCTCTATAATCTATAAATATAAGTTGTAACATCTATAGCAAGGTAGATATACAAGGTAGCCGCATCGGCGAACTTCTACAACAAACATCGGTTGTTGTCAAAAATATTTTGCCAAAATAAACAGATTGACAAAATTTTTTTACACAAATTCTTGTAGAAAATGTTAATAAAAGTATTGCAAAAAAAGCTATTCGAAATTCGGAGATTTTCATTTATAATTTTGTTTTTTAATTTTTTGGTTCAACATTAGAACAACATTTTTGACATTTATTTGTCCAACAGCTGGGCCGATGCGGCTACCTTATTTAATATATCTTGATCTATAGTTATATCTTAAGAGCAATATTAATAAAAAATTGAGATATTTATTTACAGAAAGTATACATGTTTAATTTTTTTAAAAAATATGCCATTTGACATACATAACATTTTATGGAAATTATTCTTCAAACAATTTGAAATTGACAGATGAGTTCCAAATTAAAAAGGGTTGCCATTATTAATTTCTCAAATGAGACTACCTTCTGTAATTATGCCATGGAAACGAACATTGAGATATTCATTTTTTTATTTTCTCTTAACCCTGCATAGTATTAATGTTAGTTGATTTTTTAACAGTGTACAACATTCTTCGCATATGAACATGTCATAGTACACCAAAACAACACACAACATATCGCCAAGCCACTTTATGGTTGTTATTATCGATAACAGAAATATAAGGGTAATTTTTAATTTTTTAAATTATAGCAATTTATAATGTATTTACTAATAAACGCTATTTTAAATAAAAACACTTTTTATATTCATATTGTTTTTATAAAATAAAATAATTTTCTTGCAATGGAAGAATATCGATAAATTCCCTAAATTGAACTAATTATCGATTATGCTCACAAAACGATTATTATAGTGTGGAATCGAAACCGATTGCATGTTTGCCAAATCGGTTAAGTCAGTCGTTGTCGAAAAGTCAAATAGATTGCAAGGGTGTTTCGCGTCAGTTATTTTCGTGAAAATCCTTAAAAATTCCAATAATAAAAGCACCCAAAGCCCAGGCGGCAAGCTTAATAATCGAAAAAAACATACATATATTACTAAAAGTAAATAATTAAAAAAATATATTCAAACAAATTACCATTGCTATTCAAATAGCTGGAAAATATTTTGAAAGAAAACATAAAACAAATCGAAGAAGATAAAGTGGCTAGCTAAAGAGGATAAAAGTGTGTTTTATGGCCACAACTTGAAATTTTCGGAAGTAAACAAAGTGTAAACAGTGATTGAGAAATGCAGAAAAGAATGTGAAAAAGTCGACTAATTGAAATCAAAACGAAATTATGAAGAGAAAATTAAATTATACGGTTGCGGAAAAGCAATGCTGCTACACATAAAAATATACAGCAACAACAACCGACAACAAAAATAGCTTGAAGAAAATAAATGTGCAAGTGTCTACTTATAACTGAAATACAACAAATAATAAAAAAAGAAGAAAACAAAAAATATATCGTCTGTGTGTTTGTTGTCTGTCCAGTGAGTGAAAATAACTTCAAAAAAAGAATTACAGAAAAAAAAATTGTCTTCTTTTTTGTAAAAAACAACCTTACTCTCATCATCTGATTTTAATGTGGATTACGGATTACCATTTCATCCCAGTTCCTGCTGCCGAAACACAATTAAAATGTAAATATCTATATTTGTTATTACAAGTTATGTTTTCGTTTTGGGAAAAATCTATAGGCCTATGGAATTTGTTTAACAAAAAAGAAAAAAAAAACAAGAAGAAAACTGCTGCACAATGTATTTGTTTATCCGCTGTCGTTCTCATTTTGCTGCCACTGAGAATGTTTGTGTGTGTGTCTGCTTGCTCTATTCTCTTTTATTTTCTTGTCTCGATTAATCGTCTCTTGTGTTAATGTTATGTTGTTGTGTCGTCTGTTTTCCACCTTCTTCCTTCTTGTATTTTTTTCGTCTCAAGAAAAAAAAGAAGAAAACAACAAAAACAGTGATGGAAAATATTGTTTGTGTACCATAGGTTGATCTGTGTCATAAATTGAATTTTATGTAGAAATTTGTGAAAAATTGTGATTTGTAATGTGAAAATCTCTTTAAAATGAAATAAAAAATATTAAAGAGTACATATTAATGTAAACGAGAATCAAAATTATAAATTATTCATTAAAGGGAGATTTATGTGCTTTGTGTACCTTAAAAATTATTAAAAATATTAATAAATATGTGTTTATGTATTTGTATACTCCTGCAAACATAATATAATAATCAGCCCATGATAAACCTTAAGTGTTAAAAATATTATTGATCGATTTGTGATAATTAATCAGCGATAGGGCCTGTCTAACAGCCAACATAGTTTATGACGCTAATAACGAACTAAATTTTGTATTCCAATTGGTTGAAAGAAGTGCAAAATACCGCAATATACTGGTCAAAATTTTGAATCACCATGTATATATGCTCAATAATATAAGCTATTTTAAATAATCCTCATTGTTTTAATTTTTTTTGAATAAAGTGT